TTCTTTTTTTTCAATTTTTTTAGCTGTTTTCCAGCACATATAATTTTTGGATTTGGGGCAAAGAGGATTCGAACGTTGGCTGGGTAGTTGGAACACCCATTGGGTGACCTTCCACCCTACATGGCAGGTTCATCAAAAGTCCATCTTGGGAGATGTGTTAATGAAGGCATCAAATTACCAAAAACAAATGTGGATTAATTTGTCAATTTGTAAACAGAATATAAATCAATGCACATCAGAAATGCAGGTGGGCTTTAGATTGAACCCGAGCAAATATATGCGCTTTGGAATTGAAAATTCTTGATACAGACCAGCCTTAAAAAGCAAGCATTATTTAGAAATAGATGAAATTCCAATCAGGCATCTCATTAGGTTAAGCAGAATCTAAATGTGTTTTATTTATTTATTTATTTATTTTTGGCCTCCAAAACAGAAACTAAATGTGTTTATTGAACTAGTGAAAAACTTTTACAGCTCATAAGAGTCAATAATATAGAGTTCTATGTAAATTAAACAGCAACAGATACATAAACTTACTGTTAACTCAACCTCAACCTTGTCTAGGCATACAAACCTCATTTAACTATAAATCCTGGCTCACAATAAAACACATGACAGAATTATAGTAAGTAGAGAAGATTTACCTTGAGCTTTCCCAAAGAGTAGAGATGAAATAGTCTGTCCAGATGTTCTTTCCATAAATGACTGTATTGTATCAGGAAAAAACCGCCCTGACAAAATAGGAATGGTTAACTAAAACCTACACATTTGTTGTTTTGATGCTGATTAAAAAATAGGAACAAACTGCTGAGAAAATGATTATATATTTTTTGGGCCAACTCCTACCAGATTTCTTGGCATGACAATATAAGTATTGTGTTCTAATGATTTGAGTAAACAAGCAGTAAGGATTAGAGTTCTTTTCTTCTTCTACTAGCCATTCTCCTTTTACCAAGTTCTAATAACAAATTAAAGTTGAACATTTAAGGTACAAGGATATTCCACAGACATGGGGAATATGACAATACCAAGTCATGGTTTAATTGAGGATTGTGAGTGCTTTCAAATGGTATAAGAAACTAACGATGGCACCAACCTGAGAAGATAACGTAAGTTATTCAATCCAAATATGGCAAAAGACAGAAACGAAGACTAGATGGAGTAAAACAAATAGATATAGAACAATGCAATTCTAAGTTATAATTTCAGGCAGATAATATTATGAATTCCAGATCAAGTCATAATATTTCTTAATATAACCTCTGAATGTGGCAGCAATGTTCACTATTAAGCAGTTCTCCATGAAGTTGTTCGTTGATACATTTAGTTATGTTGGTTATCCTTTAATTGGATAAGGACAAACCCTAGACAAACTAGATTAATCTCTTTTTGTCCCCAGCTCCTAGCAAAAATATGCACTGGCATGTTAGTACATTAGATATGTACCACTAAAGAAGATGTAAAGAGAACTTCATAGTCATACTACAGTACAAGATTATCATACTGTTGAAAACATAGAACAGTATCTACATACCACAGTTTGGCTTTTGGCCAAAAGCTTCTCACATAATCCGGTATAATTTGATGGCTTCCATCCATGCTGTCCTTGATACTGATAGAAAAAGTGAAAGTATTAAAAATAGAAAAATGAAAAGCTGCAAAGTCGTAGAGATTAAAACAAAACAATCATCTAGGTTTTTGTTTTATGTGAGAACAATCATGATGGTGAAAACAAAATTTGAAGAAAAAACAGCAAATGTCATTCTTTCTTTAAAAACCACAAATCATCCAAATTAATGCCACATGCCAAGAGAACTTCAAGAACAATATCTTGATTATCTGTATTTATTGAGATTGCTTTACAAGGAAACTGGTTACAATATAAAGCACAAACACAGGTCCATACTGTTGACTTCTATAAACCATCTAGGTCTAAATTTCAGTTATGAACTCAATCTTCAATCCAACCTCCAAGAAAACAGCAGCACTAGGCATTGTTGCTAAATTTCCAGCTAAATCAACAAATTTTTATTATTATAATTATTATGTTACCTTACAAATAAGAAGTAAATGATCTCATACACCATTAACTCTGAAAACACAAGGTATAGATTCATGGAATTCATAAATAACTCCTGCAGCCCTCCCTCCCAAGAAATAATTATGCAGCCCAAAAATGACTTAACTGTTTGAAAGAGTATCAATTTCAAAAATATTTATGAGAATAATAAACAGTGGCATCTATTTCAATGTCAGGAATAAAATGTTTACAACCTTTTAGTTACTAGGACAAGATTGTGAATGGTTCCTATATAATTTTTTAACTAACTTCGTATTATTGTTATGAAGTGACCAATTTTAATTGCATGTCACCCAGCCTGAGCAATTGACAGACGTTAAGAAAAAAAAAAAAGGGAAAAGAAAAATGTAACATAAAAGAAGCAAAGAAAGTTGAGAATTGCATATTATACATATCAATACAACAAAAGAAACACCAAAATGAGCTAATCAAACAATATCATGCAAGAAATTCATTAGACAAGATTACCTGAGAAATCATTCCGATAACAATGAGTCGTCCATGGATAGCCAAAGCATTCAAGCACAAATCAAACATGTCTCCACCAACAGATTCATAAATGATGTCAACTCCTTTTGGCAACTCCTTCTTAAGAATCTGCAGATTGCAGAACTATAGAATTATAGATATCCATAGCATGAAACCAAACAAATGTTTAAATCATTCAGTTGTGATGTGGCACTAAACAAATTGAAAATCATGGGCCATTATTTCCAGTGGCAACTATGATCAATTGCAGATTGTTGAACATGGAAGAGAGTCAAGGAATGTATTAATTGGAAAACCACTTAAGCAAATCATGGATTAATCTTATTTAATTTTAAGTATTTAAAATTATCATATGAAAAAAAAAACAGATACCAGAGAATCATAAAGTCCAAACTCAAATTGAACCCATTTTGGTATTCATAGCTTTTACTAGGGTAAAAGATCTGAAAACAGGTTTCACGTAGGAAGTGAAGAAGCATACATTTTTGACATCTTCAACTTTGTAGTCTATGACTCGATCAACTCCAAGCTCTTTTAAAAGCATAGCCTTTTTTTTACCGCCACAAGTTGCAACAACTTTGCTCCCTGCTAATTTTGCAAGCTGCATACATGTCCTAATTAATAATATTGTTTACAGCTAAATAGTACATGAAAAGAAGATATATTTAATTGAACAATAGCAATCTTGTGTTTTATTAAAGCATCAAATAATGAATTGGAATGTCCAATGAATTGAAATAAAAGACCACATAGAGCAGGCAGAAAACTAATATATGATTAGCAACAAAATCAGAAGAAATGAATATAAATATTCTTCAAGGAAAAAACAACAGAACAATAGAAATTGGGGAAAGGGGAATTACATTTTAGAGGATTGAACTATAGAAAAATAAGAAAGAAAAGTGCAGGAAAAAGAGAGAGAGAGAGAGAGAGAGAGAGAATAACTAGTGAAAATTTGTTGCACAAACAATACAGACAAATGTAGCAAGTGACCATGTGCCCTAGGTCAACATGACCTCCATAGAGCATATAGAAAATGAATGTAATAAAAAACCATCTCCACATCTTAATTTGTACCTGGACTGCAAACTGTCCAGTACCTCCTGCAGCAGCAGTAACAAGTACTACTTTTCCTGATTCCATTTGTCCTACCTACAGTCCAAAGGGAGGGATAAAAATATGGTTAGAAAGTGAAACTAGTGGTTTGAATGGATGGTTATAATGTGGAGAGTAGGATGATAATGATATAGGGAAATGATAAGATATAGATGTTTGAGAAGGGCTAGAAAGAGTGAGAAAGCATACAACTACAAAAATGAAACAGTACCTTTTCCAAAGCAATTGATGCTGTTAACCCTGAAGTAAGCATTGCAACCACTTCTGGGTCTGGTCTCCCAACAGGAAGGATATGTTTTGATGGAACCTATGTTTGGTAGAATATCCATAATTGATAAAGTTTAATGATTTTAAGTCCAAAGATATTAAAAGGTATTGAAAATAAACAGTAATGCAGGTAATGAAATGTGATCTTGCTAAGCCCACAAACATTTCTTTTTGGACTTTTATACCATTATGAATTCAGCATAACTTCCATAAGTCATGACTGCAGCAGGAGTACCAACTGTCAAGCCCCTTACAGAATCTCCAACTGCTGCAATTATTCCAACTGCCTGTAACATAGAAATTGATGTTAAAATTAACTGAATGTTACACATAAAACCAGATAATATTTCCACAATACCTCAAATCCAGCATCAAATGGAAGAAGGGAACTGAGGTCTCCATTTTTGCCACTGAAATAACGACCTGAGCTGAAGTTCACCTGTGTTTTAATAACACATGCACATACATTATACCTTTGCACACCTATAAGTTTGGGCAATTTCAGGTAGAACCAGCAGTTAACACTTCCCATGGCCAATAAAAAGGCAGTCAACACTTCCCTTGAGACACAGACCAAATAGAACTAAAAACTAAAACAAGTAAACAGGGCTTTGATATCACATCAAGACATCTAACCTAAACAAGTGTGAGGAGGCTCAAATTAAGTACAAAGACCACAAAGGTAAAGTGAAAACAATTTGAAAAAAAAATAAATCTTCAATTGAAATTGCAATTCAAAAATGGCACCAACATTTTGGAAATGATGAAATAAAGATGTAGAAGAATGCTACCATCCTATGGTTAGAGCCTAGTTTCTTTTACATGATTATTTTTAGTTTTAAAATAAATTCAAGATAAATAGGTAATCCATTAATCAGTATTCCCCTTTCTCGCTTCTTCAATAACAGTTATGTAAAAGGTACAACGAACACCTCTCTCTCTCAATAAACAAATGATATAATAATCAGGTCTTCCATCTCACAGAAGACATTAGATGTAACAAATGTACTGACTAAATAAACATAAAAAATATCATAAAAGACAATAGTTTTAAACCATAAACTCGATAAATCTGTTAATTCTACCCATGATAGGGTTGTACTCTTCACATGCATTAGAAAATCTTATATTTCCCACTTCAACTTGGGGTGTTTGGTATAGTGGTTTAAAATTAGGGATTGGGGTGTTTGGTATGGTGGCTTAAAATTAGGGCTTAGCAGTTCTGTTTAATCCAATGAATAAGAGTGTTTGGATTATTAATAACAATAATTGACAACCATTAGAATAGAAGAAACCGCTAATTGCTATACCAAACACCCCTCAGTCTATCTTCACTTTCCCCATTCAATGACGCGTACCCAAATCATCAAACTTGTCCTCTTCATGTTTCATGATTGATGCCGTACTACTTCTATTAGCATTATTTCCTACACAAGATTCTTAGGCATGCCAAAACAAATGGGAAAGCACCAAGATATATACAAACAACACTCAGGAAAATTAACAAAAAAAAAAAAATTGAAGGTAAATTCAAATTTCAAATTAATCCATTAAAAGTAGTGAACTTACATCACTAGCATTTACACCGGCATAAATTATTTTCACAAGAACATGGTTTGGTTCGATGGGTAGTCTCAATGGCACACGAACTATCTGTGTTGCATTACGGAAATGATGACTCAGGGTATGCACGACTCTGGACATAAAGAACAAAAGGACAATGCTCAATAACAAGAAGAAACATTGGCCCAAAAATAGCAAACAAGAAACAATAAGCATTTTTCTTCACTATTATAATAGTAATTATCAGAAAATTTGAGGAAGGAATACTTTAAAAGAAGCATTTATGGGCAATGATGAAAACCAAGGAGCTGTAAAAACAGTAAACAATATTGCTTTCATGTAATAGAAACAATCATAACTTAAGCAGCAATGTCATCGTAATTCCTCTAAATTTTCTGAATTTACTAACATTTACAACTAGACAATTATTTTCCTCCTGAATCAGTTAATTTGTTTGCAGACATTTCCTAGACTACAAATATCCCTTCCAGAAATAGGAAGGGCCAGATATGAGCAGAGAGCTTTGGGACACGCTAGAGGTAGAAACCAAAAAATGAGTTTGTTATAGGTGGTTACCAAGACACATTTTTCAAGAGGAGCATTAAATATTCATATGGGATCATTTAATGAGCTCAAAATTTAAGGAGAAGATGGTTACTTTGAATGGAGTGTTATAAAGCAGATCCAGATATCAACATTATGCTAAAAATAAAAGTCAATTTTAGAAAAAAATGAATCACGTCTAATGTGTTAACTTAAATTTAGCTTCCAGCACTCAATGCCAAACCATGTTCATTCAATAGAGTTCAAAAGTGAAACTAGTTTGACATATTTTACTCACATTTTCTCATAACTTTGAGGAAGTTGAAGATTCAAAGGAGCTTTAAATGACACATTTTTCCTGGAACTTGAGGAAAAACGCAACAAGTATTTTGCTTCTTCCATTGGAGTGGGCCAATACTCCAAGCCTCTGCGATTTGTGATCCATAAGCATGAACCAGCTCTAGTTTCATCCGTAATAAGCTCAAATGCACCTAAAATCATAGATGCAGAGAAGAAATCAATTACACAAAGAAAAATCTGAGGTTGCCAACCACCAGTCTCAAGTACCATGCACTGGTATGAATCTAATAGAAAAGCCACTACCTACGTATCTAATCTGAAAAAACTCTTATATATCGGAACAGCCAAGTTAGAAAGCACTATTATGATTTATGAGTGTATTTTTCAGCTTTAAATCTTCAATTAAGTATGTGAAGGTACTTGAGAAAAACCTCTAGCATAGGGATTAGAAAGCTGAGATGCAATATAAGAATTCCACTAGCACCAAGTACTTAGAAAACTTAGCTTACTAAATGTTGTCAAAAACATACCTTTAACCACCAAATCCATAGGCAGAAAGCCTCCCATTAGAGATATAAAGTTGGCACTTATTCCTACAGTCATCTCTGTTTGGACAAACTACGTTCAAATTCAAAGGTAAATTGTGAGAAGGAAATAGTTCGATTTGGATCAGCTAAGAGTTTTTATAATAACCATGTAGAACGTCAAACTGTTGAATACTCTCAAATTGTCATAAAAGGAAACAGCAAGCAAGCACCCTAAGGAATTGTTCAGCAAACAAGCATAGCAAATATACACAAGAAAATATATTGAAACTTGTCATGAGTAAAGAAAGTGATAACATTTACCTACTTAGTTCTCCAAGTCAATCCTATAAGAAAAAATGATTTGTTCAATTTGCAAAACCTTACAATTTTCACATGATTTTCATCACCTTTAAATGCAACTTCCTTTTCCCATGTGTATGCAATCTTTTTAGGCTGGAAGATGGAAAAAAATGCAAGCTACTTCAAACTGCGGCATGGTAGACATAGACCTCCTTTTATTTCTTTTTCATTGTGTGAACACATAATTTTTCAATACCAAAGAAGGAAAACAGAACAGGAGATAGGATGAAACTTCAAAAAAGAACACAATATTACTAATTCAGCACACATGAAATGAAAAAAAAAAAGAAAAAGAAAAAAGGAAGACTCCTATGGAGGAATGAAGCTAACCATTCTCCTTAAAAAAAAATAATAATAATAATCTAACTTCTCAAGCTCTCTGGGCATCATTAACTACCCTGAAGAAATTGCTCTTAAAGATGCTGAAGGACTGCTTAAGTCAAAAACCATTAACCACTTCCCATAAGAGATATTAACCAAAAAATCAAAGAAAAGAGATGAGCAATTTTATATTTCTGCAATAGTGCAATATGACATTAGAATTTAGAACTTGTGCACCCTGTGAAAATTTGGCATGTGGACCAGAATATATGGTGAGCATCCAACCTAAAACCAATTGGCTTAGGTGGAGTGGCCCATTGTACATTTAAGCAACACATATTTCTTTTTACATTTCAGTGTGGGATTTTCCTGCTAAACAGTTAACATACCCAGTTTAGCTCTCATGCCTGAAATAAAACTCCAGAAGAAACTAAACAAAAAAGATGCCAGATGCATTTCTCTATCTAAAGCTATTCAATCAACAAGTTAGAGAAAAGCCGAAAAAAAGGGTTGGAGAAAAGGAAATATGATTACAACTTGTCATCTTCCATCTTCACAGAATTTGCTACAGCTAGAGGAGGCTGGTACATACTATGATATCCTAGTATCAATGTGTGAAATACAAACTTCAAAAATGCCGGAGAATTTTATAAAGCATAACACAAAACGTCTTTGTATACCTCCGGATTGTGTATCCCAAAGAAAGGGAATCTAACTAAACAAACAGCTCCAGGATGGAGGAAAAACATGCTAATTGAAAAGATCCAGATTTTCTGACGTGTCTTACCTCTGGGCAAAGCACATTGACACGTATTCCTTGACGTTTGTATGGAGCTAGTGATCTAGTAAACAACACAACACCAGCTGATAAAAAAAAAAATTTTAATTATTTAACTATCAAAATTTTTGTTTCTGGTAAGAAGATCATATGCATGATTCCCACACCCCCTCCCCCCAAGAAAAAAAAAAAGAATCTACTGTACGCATGGATCTCATGCTCTTAGCTCTTTCAGACTTTTCTGTGAACAACCCCCTGCTTTATTGAATCTATTTTCTCCTCTCTTTGTTTTTTTAAGTGTGAATATCAACATAAGACCAAGTGGAGGGGCTCATATGGTATTTAACTCCACAGGTTTACTATTAACCCATTGATGTGGGATTCCTCCACTTAACATTTAGCATTCCTCCACTTAACAGTTAGCATTGATGCCATTTATTTACCCTAAGACGAATTATTGATGAAAGTCCCATTAATGAGCTTTTCTAGAGAATTTTTAAAAGGTTTCACATGTATACACTAAAACAAGACAACATATAAGTTAATTTTAATAGAGTGAACGAAATATTAGGGACTCAGAACAAACCTTTGGAGCTACTGTATATAGGGTCCTTAGTTGAAGGATAAAGTCCGGCAGAAGACCCCAAATTAATTATCACACCAGGCTTTTGCATGGCTTGCATAGTTCTGATCTGTAATACGAGGAAGATAATCATTAATAGTTCTCCAAAACTATTTTAAAAAAATTTAAAAAAAAAAAAAAAAAGCATCAGAAAGAGACTTTTCCTCTTGCAATACAATGCATCAAGTTTATAAAGCAGCACATGAAGCATGCTGGCAGAGACCTCCAAAGTTCAAAGGTTTATGAAAGACCAGCAGAAACTGATTTTTATAACTAAATTCTAGTTTGACATGTATCCAATGAAGAAAAGCTTAGTTGGGAGTTTGGATAAATCTTTTTTTATGTGTATTTAAAATTTGGTTTGAATCAAAGGCATTTTAGACCCTGGAAGGTCTAGGTTGAAATCCCACTTCCTGCTGGAGTGTAAGTAAATAATTGCAAATAGAAAAAGAAGTTACCACATTTGGAAATTTCCTATTTTCCTTTTAGAACTGGATATGAGTTAATTGGATCTAATTTTGAGTCTTCTATTATTATCGATTCTTTATGTGTGATGTTCAGAGTTGTCGGTGCATAATTTTCTTTTTATTATCTTACACTAGAAGGTCTAAGACCTTTTTATTTACCATCAAAACCCAAGGTCTATTTGAATTGGAAGTTCCAGGGATTAGTACAAGCACTTGTGGCTTCTTTCAATTAACAGAGAATTATTGAAGTACTTCAATTTCAACAATTATGCTCTTTGGATAGTGTGAGACAATCAACCCTGGGTATGACTCCCATGGAAACATGGGTGTTTGTGGGACTCCTTCTCTGTTAATCTCTAATGAAATGAAATTCACCTTGCTACCATAACATCCTAGAAATCTTCTCTCACAAACCCAAATCAAGACCCTCATCTTGATCCTCAACCTTGGAGAAAAAATAAAAAATAAAAATGCTGCTACTGTTTAGGCATCCTGTTCAAAAACAGAGCACCTACACTGTGCTTGCTAGTTGTTACAACCTTGATTGCAATGAGTGTCTCTACAGGATAGAGCTCAACAAAAAACTAAAGAGTAACAGCAGCGACTGAGTTCAGTAGTTGCTCTACTAATCTTGAACCTGCACAGATTCCATTACAAACTCTAAATACTCCATAATTTTCCTATCCTAAATTACCCTATAAATTAACCCCAAAATCTTTATCTCCAAATTTCTTTTGTAGGCAGATTTTTTCAAATCTGTCCTGCATCAACATCAGCCTCTTTTATTTTGGAATTGGAGGGCAGAGAGGAGAGGTTTTCATCAGGCAGAACTGTATCAGTTCAACTTCATCAAGTTATTCAGCCAAAAAAAAAAAAATCATCAGGTTATTAAATATGCAAGATGGACTTGTATAGAGAATTTTTGCCAGAAAAAAAAAAAAAAAAGGACTTGTGTGGAGCTTCACTAGTGAAAAGAAAAG